AGAAGAGGCGGTCAAATTCTTCCTCGACATCATCTACCGATTCGGTGTTCCTAACTGCATCATCACTGACCACGGGACTAACTTCACCGGAAAAAAGTTCATAGACTTTAGTGATGGATACGACATCAGGATCGACTGGGCCTCGCTCGAACACCCACGTACTAATGGTCAGGTCGAGCGTGCTAATGGCATGGTCCTCTAAGGACTTAAGCCACGCATCTTCGACTGACTCAACAAGTACGTCGGGCGATGGGTTGCAGAGGTCCCGACGATCCTCCGGAGCCTGAGAACGACCCGAACCGATCCACAGGGTTCACGCCCTTCTTCCTGGCCTACGGAGCTAAAGCAGTGCTGCCTTCCGACCGTGACCACGGCGACCCAAGAGTGAAAGCTTTCGACTGTGACCGAGCCACGGAGGCTCAGCAAGACGTAGTCGACCTACTCGAGGAGGCCCGCGAGACAACCGTCATCTGCTCCGCTTGCTACCAGCAAACTCTCCATAGGTACCATGAAAGGAAGATCAGGGGGAGAATCCTCGAAGTCGGTAATCTCATGCTCCGGAGGACCCAATCGACGAAGGAAAAACACAAACTCTCTCCACCTTGGGAAGGACCCTATACGGTGACCGAAGTAATCTGACCGGGCGCCTACTGATTGTAGGACGACAACGACAACGTTCTCACCAACACTTGGAACATTGAATAGCTACGTCGTTTTTCCCCTAAATTTGGTCTTACCGCTTTTTAGTCAACACTTGCTCCTGTAAAGCACCCTAGCCCCGAACATTTTCAGCCTGGGTCGCTCGGGGGCTCCATAAGGGTACAATACTAAATACTACCTCTCTTTTTTACTATCACATGGTAAAAACTTTTACCCGAACAAAAGGGCATTCTATTCCTTTGATTACCCTACGTAACTGGGTTCTTACTCCCAACCGAATGCATCCTGGCATGACCTACGGTTACGAGCAGCTGAGCCCCGCGGGCCATGCCCAGATTCTTAAAAAGCTACAGCCTACAGAACGAATAGACAGTTGCAAAAAAGAAAGGATAAAAACAAAGCTATGCTAGGATAAAAAATAAGGAACGGATAGTGATTCTATCACAAAAACAGAACTAATGTATTCATTGATACAAAAACTATTCACATGGGGACTCCCCCAAAACTTAACGATTACATTTGCTGACTACTTCTACTCCAAATACTACTGCGGCTGCTCAACGGCATCGGCTAACGCCAAAGGAGAAGCCACGGCACACGCCACCGGACATAACCACCACCGCAAGGGACCCGCCCTGTTCCGCTCCCTCGACTTTGGCGAGAGCAACGGGTTCCTCAAGGGCGTCGCACCCATAGATGCTCAGCAGAGGAACATGGAGCTCCTGACCTTCTCATGCAGTCGAGGCAGCTCCTAGACAGTGACGCTGCCACCGAGGTATGGCCACCATGGCTAGAAGATATCTCATCAAACTTTATGAACTGGCCAACCTGAGCAGCTACAGGCACGAAACCCTCCACTAGCACGATCCTGGGCAACTTCCCCTCCGACAAAGCTCGCCCAATGAAGATCCACCAAAAAGAATCCACGCACGGCTCCATCCCAAAAAAGGCCTCGCAGATGAATCCAGCGTGCCACCTCCTTCAGCGGAAGCCGCCCCTTCTTAGGCAAAGACGGCCAGCACCACCTCGGGTAGCCTCAAGCTCAACATTGCGCTCCGGATTCACGAAGGGATCTATGAGTCCTCCCCTCGCTTACCCTCTCTCTCACTTAGGAACTGCCGTGGCATCCATGCACTCTCAGTGAGGAGGAAGAAGGAGGAGAGGCGATAGTTGGAGAATAGGCAAAAGACTGCAACGAGAAGCCCTCTTCTTCCCCTATTTATGGAGGAAACGTGGCAGCTGAAGAAGGGCAAAGGATCAGAGCGAAAAACTCTCCCTTCCCCCATTCAATGCGGACAGGAAACGATGGGACACGCCCTGACCGATGGGACATCCACGGACCGATGGAATGATGCCTGGTCAGATGGGATGTGGCCTGGGTATGGCCCACCACTACCGCACGCCGGGCTCAAGAACCAAAGCACCACCATGTGCAGACGCCTCTCTGCCTTCCTAGGCGGGACTTGGAAAAACCCAAACAACGGAATCTCCACCAGGAGGGACCATCGGGCTTCCTAAGTCGATCAAACGGCCCAGGAAAACACCGAGAGATAGGTAAGAAGCAAAGGGACGCCCCATGTAGGCCATGCCGACTCCATCACGAATGGCAAGCATGGGTCCTGGTCGGACATTTCCGATTGGAGCTCTTCAAACCCCATCACTTGAGTCATCAAGGTAACACTACCGACCCCCGCTATTTCTTTATATAATCATTCATACATTCATACACGCATTCATTCCATACGCCCGTGCCCCCCAGATGATTCGAGCCCTGAATCGCCCGGGGGCTCAGGAACTAAGGCATCGCACATGCAGCTAAATGCATCACAACGCTCTGTGTTGCGTCACGAAGCAGCAGTTGCCTCATTCAACATGAGCAACGACCGACCGGGGCTCGAAGGCTGGCCCACGAAGGACTCAAGGCCGCCTCCCGTCAAATAGAGCCAGGGGAGAAAACATAGATGAGCCCCGTGTGGCCCTCACCTAGGTTGCCCCAAAGCGGACAGGGTCATCTCAACCTTCTCGTTCGATCCTAAACCTCTCACCAAACCCACATAATCTCCATCGAGGGGGCCCAGCCGGCCACCCGGGTCGGTCTTCGGAACGACCCAGGCATCTGCCGGGTTGTAGGTAAAGGAGCAGTGGAATGTCACAAGAGGGCTATGCCGACCCCGTCATGAATGACGGATGCAGATTCCACTCGATCATACCCGTTAGCGAGCTCACCGAGCACGTCACTCGAGCCTGAGCGATCGAGTCAAGCGACAAAGCTCAGCCCCTCCGGTTGTGAGAAACTGAGGACGGGGTAACGCACACAACTCAAACCGACCCCTACCAAGCCCAACAGGACTCAGGGGCTCAAAGACACCCAAAACACCTGGGTCTGCGACCCCGAACTCGCCCCGTCAGGACCCGCGAGCTCCATCTCGTCCGATCCCTAAACTAACTGCCTCGGCTCCGACTAGCCCAATCCCACGGCGCGCACCGACACCAGGATCCGCAAGTCCGTCTCGCCCGATCCCTAAAAGTAACCGCCTCGGCTGTGCAATGACGCCTTGGTTGATGACTCCGTCTCGACTAAAAAACACGCACACACGCCCGCTGACAAAACTCCCAGACGATTCTGCCCGAATCGCCCGGGGGCTCGGGGGCTACAAAGTTGCAGATCTATTTAAGTACTAAAAGGTTGGTTAGGTAGTTTCTCTATCCGAGGTGATTTGAAGAAAAAACATAGAAATGATTTTGAAATTATGAAAACTAAAAACAAAATTTTTGGGACTCAAATGGTTTCAAAAGAAATTTTCATCAACTACAAACTTATTGTTCTTTTCAAATACTATAACTTTATTAAGTTTTGTCTTCATTGAACTTGATTTGGAAAAAATGATTTATTGTGTTCCACCCAGTGTTATCCTAAACGCTAAAGAGCAAACATTCGGTCACCTACCGTTTAGCCCATTATTCAGGCAAAACGAGTGTTTAAATGAGAAAAATGGTTGTTTAAACAGTAAAAACAACCGATTAAACGGAAAACGGTGTGTAAACGAGCTAAACGGTCGTTTATTAGGAAAAAAGTGGTTCCACCTATTTTTGAAGGTGGGTCAAACTCAACTTTTCACATGTGTCCGACGACCTTCATGCCATCAGGAGGAGAGAAGAGCATGGATCCCAGGTGTGCGATTAGGTCCTCGTTTTTCTAGGTTTGGTGTCCAAGGCGACATCACTAATGCAATGGTAGGGATGTGCTTTTGGAATCCCTTCGGCACCGTCTTCGTCTCGTTATGGTGTTCTCCAACGCCTACGAGTTGCGTATGAGGGTGGTGTCCACTTGATCTGGAGTCTACACCAGCCTCAGTTCTCTTCTGGATCTTTGTGGTTCTTGTTTAGGAGGTTTGTGGCTGGCGCTTCAACCAAGTATGGTGCTTGATGCTGGGTGATGTGGAGTAGAGTGATGGCTGGTGGGTTCAAAGGATTGTGAGGATGGACCTGTGCTCAGTCCTTGCTGTTGATGGAGATGCACATAGATTCATGCACTATTACAATAGACATTTGTAGGGGCAGTTGTAGATCATTTGTAGAGGCGGCTCGGTCAGCCGCCCCTACCATACCGTCTCTACAAATCATGCATTTGTAGGGGCGGTTCCCAGACCGCCCCTACAAATTGATTTATAGAGGCGGCTGTAGTACCAGTCGCCTCTACAAATTGATTTGTAGGAGCGGCTGTAGTACCTGCCGCCTCTATAATACATATTTGTAGGGGTAGTTCAATCTAGAACCGTCCCTACAGTACATTTTTTCGGCAAAAAAAATTCAAATTTATAATTACTATCCTATAGCTGGCTACAAAATAACTTATTCTGTAGCCACTTTGAGTTACGATAATTACTATGTTAATTTACGAGATTACAGTAACTTTTTACTATAACGTCACGGTAAATATTCCCATGTGTTATAGTAATCCAACTATTGTAAATATGTATTGACATTATCGTAAATTAGTATATAAAATTATCGTAAATGAAAATGACTACAGAATAACTTATTTTGTAGCTCGCTACTGAATATACTCTCCCTATATATATATATATATATATATATATATATATATATATAATTCAAATATGATGATCTTCCATCTTTCTCTATACCGTACGTTGGTGCTTTTGATTTATCCACAAGATCAGGGTAAAATATATTGAACTTGTAGCCTTGAACAATTTTAGGCGGTGGGTTATCATGGTCATAATGAGTCTGTTTGTATTTATTCCATTCATATCCGAGTAGTACCCGATTGAAGTACTTGGGCTTTCTTGGTCGATACTTGTCGTGCCACCAGTACACTATGAGCATATTGAACAAGCATATGCCATCAGAAACCAGCTGAGTTCATATGCGGTAGGATGCACCAAAGTTGCTAAATCACGCTTCTTATGTGTTAAACTTGTTACCACCCATGGTATCGAACTCAAATATGGCATTACCTCTATATTAAACTGTCAAAATATACTCAATTACAATTACACGAGTCAATAGATTATTTGAAAAATTTGGTGTAGCTTAAGGTGTGTTATCTATGGTCTAGATTATAGCAAGATAACCATCGGTCCTTCTGGATCAACACTAAAAAATTGTCACAGTCACGCCATATCCCAGTTGAATTCCGAGAACTCTCTCGCTAATCCGGTATCAAGGCAGAATATTGGAAAATATAGATATACAACTATCGTCATGTTACCATGCTCAAAACGCAATGGGGTCAAAGGAAAATCATCCAAACCTGTGAATCATGGTTCACTTCAGCACCAGCACCAAATACTGCATCTCCTTCCTCCATAGCTCCCATCATTTTTATGGCCTTCATCTCCATCTCATCAGGTACTCTTGCCTTTGCTTTCATGGCTTCATGAACTTTCCTTTGATGCTCCAAAACTACAGCTTCACGTTTTCGGTCCTGGAGATGATTAAAAGCATTAAGTATGAGTTGCCAACGTCATTCTAATTATCTAATTAACTCATAAAATAAACCCTAATAACTTGATGTTCTTAAGAAAAATCTTCACCCATTCACTACGAGAGACGCGTGCTTTGCCGAGTGCTGCACTCGGCAAAGAGCTGTCGGCATATCCCTTCACGGCAAAGGCTTCTTTGCCGAGTGCCGCATGTTGGGCACTCGGCAAAGGATTTCCCGAGTGCCACGACGGCACTCGGCAAAGATCTACACTCGGCAAAATAAAAATGTGAAAAAACCCAAAAATAATAGCAAAAATTTTCAAAATTTTTTTTCGGGGGAGGCCACCACCGGCAAACGCCCGCCTGTCTCTAGCGAAGTCGCTGCATTTTTTGCGCTAAATTCGCGACTAACGTGGCCGGTGGGATTCGAACTCACGACCTCTCCCTCGCATGTCTGCTGCTCTACCATTGCACTACACTATTACTTGTGTCTAGATTCCGTTATCTATCCTCATATATTATACTAAACCAAGAGTAAATTACTTGTTTGAGGCCCTAAACAAATTCAAATCAAAAAGTGGTCAACTACAAAGTTTCATAACTTTTCGAGATCTACAATTTTCATTTAGGAAGTTTTTCCATCCAAGGTCGTTTGAACAATTCGAATTTCAAATTTGAGAGATTCAAACGTAGTTTTGCATGATAAGATGATTTCAAATCAAAAAGTTGTCAACTACATAGTTTCATAACTTTTGGAGATCTACAATTTTCATTTAGGAAGTTTTTCCATCTGAGGTCTTTTGAAAAATTCAAATTTTCAAATTTTCAAATTCAAACGTCGTTTTTGCATGACAAGATGATTTTAAATCAAAATGTTGCCAACTACAAAATTTCATAACTTCTCAAGATCTACAAAGTTTATTTTGGTCATTTGTTCATCCGACATAGTGGTAGTAACATTGTTCACAAATCTTATATATCTCTCTTCTACTTTCATGAAACTAATGAGAGATGCAGATTTTATGAACAACGTTATTGTCGCTTTGTCAAATGAAGAAGTGACCAAAATAAACTTTGTAGATCTTAAGAAGTTATACAACTTTGTAGTTGAAAAGTTTTTCATTTGAATTCATTTAGGGCCTCAAAAATTGCTTTGAAAAACTGATTTGCCGAGGGCCAAAAAAAATGCACACGGCAAAATGCCTCTTTGCCGAGTGCCAAAACAAAGGCACTCGACAAAATACATCTTTGCCGAGTGCCAGAAAAAAGCCACTCGGCAAAGAAACATTTTGCCGTGTGCCGAAAAATAGCACTCGGCAAAATACATCTTTGTCGAGTGCCAGAAAAAAGGCACTCGGCAAAGGCGCATTTTGCCGTGTGCCGAAAAATAGCACTCGGCAAAATACATCTTTGTCGAGTGACAGAAATTTGGCACTCGGTAAAGACGGCCTTTGCCGAGTGCCGGCTTTGCCGAGTGCGGCACTCGGCAAACTGCCTCTTTGCCGAGTGCCCGTGTTTCGACACTCGGCAAAGCGCCGAGCACTCGGCAAAGAGCGCGTCTCCCGTAGTGATTGTGTTTGTATATGAACTCTAGAAAGCCCTCAAATTTAAGTCACCATAAGGAGCATTGCCATCAAAAGTAAGATCTAAATGAATCAATGCCCCCCTCTTAGGGTAAGACATGCAGGAAGGCCTGCAGAAGCTTGAAAGGTTGTCTTCATAACGAAAAAAAATATCAGTAGAACTTTTCGTCCTAATATTGTTAGTTAGCCTCTTTTGTTGCATAATATGGAGTCCAGTTACTAACAATCTGTATGCTTGACAATTAAACTACTCGATTAAGCGCACTTTGCAAAAATAACTAGTACAGTTCCAATCATGTTTCTGTTAATACTATTAGAAATAGAAACACAGGACTCTACTAGCTCAGCTTTGTCCTCTTCAGGATCAATTGCATCTTCATCTTCATTGCCATGCATTAGCTGTGGAGAGAAGGATCCATCTTCCTCTTCAAATTGGTTTTCTGTGTGCTTAGGTATAGGCTCAGGCGAATATCGCTTATCATCTACAAATAGAACATACATCAGAAATCACTTCATTATCTTGGAAACATAGTTGATTGAGTAATAAGAAAAGAAGGTAAACCTTTGTCCTCATGCATCTCATCCTCTAGTTTATTATCATCTTCTTTCTCAGATTCCACATCCTGTTCAACAGCACCAGGATGCTCCAGTCGATGTAAATGCTTCCTTAGGATAGAATTGCATATATGCCTCGTACAGATAATGTATAGCTCAATACGTCTTTATAGTATGCTGGGAATAATACACATGGCGTTACAATTAAAACTACCTCAAACAAGACAATATCCATGCATAATCCATAAATTATAGCCTAGTACTTCAATGTTGATTGGGTTGTATCTGACAATTTCTATGTAGTACTGATCATGACATGCCTTTATGCCACTATCAACAAACTATAGCCAAAAGAGGGGAGAAAGTAAAGCAAACATGTCTGGACCAGAATTATTTAGAAAATGACCCACCCCACTCAAACAGCTTTTGAAGCTAGCAGGATCCCCAGGAGTCATGTAGCTTATGAAAGAGGCCAGCAGATTAACCACTGCAGAGTGCAGTGAATAAGGGGTTGTTTGGGACTGCTCCACAAACTCTGCTCCACAAACTCCACCGTGGAGTAGCTCTACAAAAAACTGGAGTTTGTGGAGTACCTCTTTAGGTGCTCTCACAACTCCACCATTTTTTCTCGAGCAGAGTGCGTGGAGCTGAAACTGTTTGGCTAAAAAACATGGAGCGGAGCTGAAAAACGTGGAGCGGAGCAGTCCCAAACACCCCCTAAATCACTAAAAGCAAAACAGAACATTTTTTCCGGAGTTACCAGCAATAGAACTATAGAAGATTTAAAACAACAACCTCAAAGGAAACTCCACTTGTGTTAAGTTTGATAACACAAGTATACATTTCTATCATCAGCTATAGCTAACAAGTGTTAATCCCTTATAGGTACCGGATACAAATAATATGAGATTATCCACTGCACATTCAATTATAATCAGCTTCAAGCACAGCTAATGCTAGATTGTAGGCAATGATCCACGCATGGCACGGGTGTGCATGGAATTTTTTGCAAAACTGTCTCTAATGTGGCACCCAGATTTTGACAATACAAGTATACAACTCAATGACCTGCTAAGCAAATAGGTTCAGTCATATAAGATACTGGTTTCAAGATTCAGTCATAAAGTAGTAATGGAGGATAGAATGTATGATCAAGCATCACATGGTACAGAATAGCATAGTGGAAATTACGCTGCATTGTTATGCTAATTGTTACATAAAGGCCAGAATATGATTAAGAGAAGTTAACCGTCACGAGCATACAAGCAAGGTGAGCTCTAGAACAGGAGTACTGACACCCTACTTAATTGTTTGTGAACCAACAATTAGCTGTATGTAAAAAATTGTTAAGCGATTTTCTTATCATTCATAGATTAGCCAATCGCCCTACATCCCAAAACATACTCCGATACAAGAATACAATATGCACCGAACAAGAACAGTGGTAGCCTCGACTGCAATGGCATTCGCATCTATGCTAAAACCACCGCACAGGAATGCAACCAATGCAGCGGCGCTCGACTCTCATACCCTCCTGACCCCATGCTGCAGAGGTAGCAAAGCCCAACCCCATAACCCAATATATCCCCTGCTCCACACAGCATCTAAAACGACACCCGCCGATCTCAGGACGCACGAAAACCTAGCCCGCCGCCACGCATCACGGGGACTGAAGAAAAAGGAGGGGAGGCGATCCGTACCGTCGTTGAAGGGCACGAGGCACTCGTAGGAGATCTTGAACTAGAAGGGGTTGAGGAAGGTGGTGGGGTTGTCCAGCACCGCCACGTTGGTGATGTTCACCGCGCTCATCGCCGCCGACGGTAGGAGCCACGCGTGCTCGAGCAGAGGGGAAAAGACGAGAGAGCGAGCCGCGGTGGCGAGGTTGGTAGTTAGGGTTGCGGTACCGTCTCTGGATCCAAGCCCGCGCGGCCACCGCCACCTACGGCTTCCTGCGAGGTTCCACCGTAGTCTCGTGTCCCGAGCCACGCGTTCGCCACCACCCGCGGCCTCGGCCGCCGGCTCGTGGCCGGAGTCCGCACAGCCACCACCGCCGCCCGCGGTCTCTGGCCAGATCCACGCGGCCTAGTCTCCCGGATCGGCGCAGACGCCGCCACCGCCCGCGGCCTACCTAGTCCATGCGGCCACCGCCTCCTAGGCCTGGCTGTCTGACGCGGCTCCCTCGATCTACGCCGCTGCAGCTCATGGACAGAGGAGCATGGAGGCCGGCGGCACTGGTGTCAGAGGGAGAGAGAGCGCGTGCGGAAGGAGGCCGGGGGCGGCAAGTGCGGGTGCCAAACCCTAGCCAGTGTGCACCCTCTGTTTTATATGCGTGCAATTACACTGTAGCGCCTCTTGGGTGGGCAGAAAGGCCGGCGTGGCCCAGGCCCAGGTTAGCTACACGTAAGAGCATTTTTAGGGGCGGCTGGTGATTTAGCCGCCCCTACAAATAGACACAGCAGTGGCGGCTAGTATCCAGCCGCCCCTACAAATCGGCACATTTATAGGGGCGGCTCATATTACCAGCCGCCCTTACTGTGTCATTTGTAGGGGCGGCTGGTCTCTGGGCTTCCGAGCACGTCATTGTAGGGGCGGCTCCATCACCAGCCACCCCTACAAAAAATTTGTTCCGTGGCTACAAACCGTTTTTCACAAAGTGATGGTCAGGGAAGCATGGGTGCTTCCCTAACCAATGTTTTTTTGTTGGTTGCCTCATCCCAATCTTCCTTGGATCTAGACTCTGTTACGGCTTGCTTCAAACCCTCCGTATGATGGTGCTTCCTCTGGCCCTGGGGGTCTTGGTGGGTTGGGGTTCTTGGCAACTTCTCCTTTTTTTCGGTGGTAGCATCGGTAACGACGGGGAAGAGCCAAAAAGTCTGTTCGCTTGTTGGTTTCAGTCAAGACTTATCAGCTAGCCAACAGTGTTTTCCTCTCACAACAAACCAGCACCAGCCAGACTTATCAGCCCTGAAACCAACCAGCGAACAGGCTCAAAGGCTGCATCCTCGGGTAGCTGGCGCAGAAGATTCCTAGGGCTTACTTACAATTTCTTTTTGTTTAGGTTCTTCGTTCTATGTACGTAAGCAGGTATAGACAGATGTTCCCTATGTACCCTTCTAGTGTGTTCTTGTGTATGTACTCTGTCGATCTATACATTTTCGTTGAAAAGTAAATCATGTTGGTCATATAAAAAAGTCCCATTATGGAGTACCGGGCTACTACTACGACAACTAAATAGCACGCTCCTGTCTGCTAGCTACCGCTGGTGCTACTGTAGGGTTGATTCATATTGTATTCGGATATGGCTAACACTATTTACCAAACTTTATATATCATTAAACATATGCTTTATATATCATTAATTATAATAGTAAAATTATCATAAATATAAGGTTTTACTAATTTAAATTATCATAAATATAAGTTTTAAAATTATCATAAATTAAATCAAGCCATTGTGAATAACCATATAGATAACTTTTAAATAGTTTAAACAAGTTACATTAAAATAATTATCATTTGCTTTGTTAATTGTTCATAAATCTGAGTTTTAGATGGTACATTCTTTTTTTTACTATTACACAGTAGATGGTACTTTATTGTTCATATATACAAATAATATAAGATATTTCATAAATTTTCGTATATGTATTTAGAATTGGTGAGAGAAGAATCATAAAAATGGATTCGAATACAACCATTTAGCATCCATATTATTAAATATGAATACAGATATTACGCTAAAGTAGATACATATATCGGATGTTTAGACACGTGGATCCATCCCTAGCTACGGTAACAATTATCCATTTTTTATTTTGCAATTCCCCGCTGGCTCTTCATATGCACATCGATGTCTTGAATTCTACACGATGCTACGAATCATTGTTGTCCTTTGTTTAAGATTTGTGGTTTTCTATAGCCGTACTGATGTGTACTACTGTGTTGCAAAAGTTGACAAATAAATTTGATATCCATTATTCGTCCTGTTCGCTTGGCTTATAAGCCGTACTTTTTTAGCCAACAAATAATATTTTTCTCTCACAATAAATCAGCCAACAGTACTTTCAGCCATGGCTTATCAGCCAAGCAAACAGAGCAATTGTTTCAGATATGTCGTTATCTAATCTTACTATTGTAGAAAATGAAAAGACATACCAATCAGTCTGTCTTTTTTTTTAGATTTTTCGTTATCTACTAGTCCTATACTCTCCTGTAGAGAATGTATTGTCATACTATGTTTTGTCGTTTTTGTAGTCCTATACTCCTGTACAAAATGAAATATCGCATTTCTATCACAGCTTGTACTCCCACAATCTCTCGCTTACTTGATCACTCCAACCTTGCTCCGACTTTATTGTCTAATTATGTTTTTGAAAATGCTTGTCTATATTTACAATACTACTCTCTTCATTTCAACTTATAAGACATTTTAGAATTTTTTCAGATATATAGTTTTCTGTTATATACTTAGGTATACATTATGTCTAGATACATAGTTAAAATGATGAATTTAGAAAAGCCAATTACAGAGGCTGATATTATAGGTTTCTGTTAATGGACCATTTACAGAGTCCGTCGACCCATGTGTAAATCGATTAGTAGAAGCATATATAGCTCATCTATTAATACCTAGCCGCCTCTTTTAATGATTTCTAGAAAACCAAAAGATCTAAAAAGTGAGTGTTTTCTAGGATTTAAACCAATGATCTTTAGCTCACACAACACCTCTCTACTACTACACTACTATACACACATTTGTGAGTGAATATAGGATGCTATCCTTTTGTATTGAATATTTTGGCACTAAACTTTGTTGAACACTACAACTTTGGCATGCATGTCTCCATCCGACATTGTTTAAAAAATTGCAAAACTTTGAACCCCCCAAAATATGAGAACTTAAAATAAATATTTGAGACTCTAAACAACTTCAAAATAGAAACCTATCAACTACAAACTTCACTATCACAAAATTGATTTTAGAAGACAACTTCTTTTATTTATAGAACAGTCAAAATTTATGTCTGTCTCCAAAAATAGCTACCTATTTTTTGGAGATGGCCAGTTTATTTTCAGAGGCAACTCATGTCTATAAATTAATTAATAGAGGTGGGCCTTCTAAGATCTCTGCCTCTCAAAACAAAGTCTATTTTTAGAGGCGGGTTTCATAATCGGCCCAATCACTTCGAAACTCTATATCCAAGTCATGAACGCCTCTCCTAGTCTCTCATTTGTTTTGTTTTGAGGATTAGTCTTGTTTTAATAGTCTAACAAGATTTTGGCTAGCTTGTAGTCTTTGTTTTTTCAAACTTAACATCTTACATGAAGCGAGGACGAAATTGAGAGAAAATTATAACGCATATGCAGGATCATTCTACGTAGGGTAAACATATAACCAAAACTTATGATGTTACATATGGTATTCAAAGCTAGTACTCTCGCTTAAATGTGTATGCCTCACAACCAGTGCAAGACATCGCTCGACCATGGAACAAAGGGAGATCTTGAGTAATTGTGCACCAGAGCTCAGTACCTTGCTATATTAGTGTTCCAACTTTGGCTCATTATGGGATAACTGTTGTGTTCTCATGAACTATCCCCCAGGGCTGTATAATAAATAGGTTTTCACGACAGATTATAATCCTATTATTCCAACTGTAGCATCTCTAGTTAACATTTTTACGTCAAGAAATGGTAAAACTATAAGAGAGGTGATATACATATATGAACCCATTCTATGTTGGAGCTAGGCTTAAACAGATTTGGATGTAGGATGTGATAATTCCCATGTGGGAAGAACCAACAAATGAAGAGTAAAATGCATGAGCGTGTTCCCTAAACTATAGACGTTATTGTTGTTGTCTAGGTCCTTGATCTATGAAATTGAACATTTGGATCCGTTATATTCTAAGTTCCCCACTGGAGTCTGATTGGTGTCTGTGTGGTTGAGTGGTGAGGTGGTGGGTAGTGGGGGCATGTTTTGTTTGCCACCATTTGGTAGAGATGTTTTATTTGCACTTTGGATTTGTGCTCATCTGTTGCTTCAATGTCCTGGTTCTCCCTCCACCTTCTCTTATGTCATCCCGACACCAACATTTGCCTATCATGATGCTATTCCAAACCCTTGCTCCCAATTTGAGTGGCTCAATTTTGATATCTTAGTCCAATTTGAATTTGGTACATGCTGGTCCATGTATGATTGTGTGGGTTAAGTTTCACCTTAGTTGTTGACGGTGAGTTAGACCAATATATAAGGTTTTGAGAGTCCATATCACCAACCTACATGAAAGCATGGACCAAAGAGTGAGGAAGTTGTTGTGTATGGTGTATTTTCTTGTTCATTCAGTTAGTGGCAATATTTTTGCAAATTCACTACTACAAAAAAAAAATTTATAGTAGATTTTTCATCGCTGATTTTTATAAAACCGCTTGTGATAAGTTTTAACTGCTAGTTTGTAAGTAGGTGGGCATAATGGTTGTTGGCACAGGTAGCGAAAATAGATTCCACCTCGATCTCCTAACCGTCCTCCATTTTCTTTACATCCATTTGAGTGCTCCTCGATCTCCTAGCCATTGGCCCGAATCAGTGTCGTTGTCATGTTGTCCATCTGCCGTGACTTCTAGATCGAGCAATTCCACGGTGGTGAGCTATTGAGCTGCCCCCCTACTCCTGATTCTTTGGGGAACTAGGGTTAGGGTTGCTTATTTAATCACGGTTCCTGCCATAATATCAATGTAGCGACTATCATAAAGGACAAGAGATTGGGTAATATGAAAAGACTTTTCATTATCGGATTTCCTTGAGATGTCAATTCACAATCCATGTCAAGGTTGATAGATAGGAACTGGTTAAGGCTGCGTTTGGTTGAGCTGTGGCTTTTAGGAAAGCAGCCATGAGCGGTGGCTTTTAGAAAAGCAGCTGTGAGATGTGGGCTGGGGGAAAAGCTAAAAGTCCTTTGGTTAAACAGCTATGGCTTCTGTAACCTGCAAGTGGACCTCGCTCGTCAGCCTCACACACAATTTCTTCAACCTCTCGCAGGCCAACATCGGTCGGGGTGGAGCTTTCGCCCGTGTCCATCGGCAGGGCCATGTCCGCAACGGGGTCGCGCATCGGGGTCGGAGCAGCGGCCGCGTCCATGGAGAAGCATCGGGGTCGCGCATATGGGACAGGGAAAGTCGCGCATCAGGGTCGCATCCACGGCGGCCATGGAGAAGAGGGTCGAGGAGAGAGAAGCTCCTGCCGCGGTTAGGGAAGGCAGGAGGGGAGCCGCGCTTGGCTCTGATGGCCGCAGGCAAGGCGTTTTCAGCCACCGGCGTGGCCTTCCCGACCCCCGCCCCTACAACGTATCCGGCAGGGTGGACCAAAGTCAGACACGGGGCTGGGGAAAGGAACCGCGGGCGGAGCTCCGGCGGCCGAAGAACTATAGATCCGGGAGGGGAGAGGCAGGCCAGCCGCCGCCCTGGAACCGCGGCGGTGGAGCCGGCCGGGTCGTGGTGAAGGGGAGTCATACGAGCGGGCGTCACGGCTTCTATCGGTGGGGGCGGGTGGGGAAAGAATGAAGGGGTATTTTCCACTTATCCGTGGCAGTGCGACAACTGATATATACTACACAATATTTTAAATTTTTCTCATTTTTTGACAACATTATTGATGATCATACCATACATATGCACTGGGGACCAAAGTTCTGAGCGACAACTGATGTGGCACTGTTTACAACAAACACCAGGGACCGAACTCGCTCTCTCCCTATTCTCCATGCTCAATTATTTGCAAGCACCAACATACAACAGAGAAGCAACATAGCTAGTTCCTAGTAGGAGTTGAGGTTGGTCTGGCGCAGCCGCCGCTCGTCGGAGAGCATCTTTGCGAAGCGTGCAAGCGCGTCCTCGTTGGTGCCCTCTCCGGCGACGGCCTCGTACATCCCCGTGTCGATGTTCACTCTCGACACTGGCTTCTTGAGCAGCTGCTTCCCAATCCCAATCAGTGCCTCCATGTTCTCCTTCGTCGCGATGTCCACCGACGACGCATGGCCCGTCAGAGAATCATCCTACATCCAATTTTTTTTTTTTTGTCATATGAACTACTAATATAATGGATACATGGGAGTACGCCATTTACGTAGGTGGTCTCGGTTAATTTTAGTTACCAGTAGTAGTAGTTACCACGTACGTCGTACCTGAATGCGGAGGTAATTCTTCTCGCAATGGAGGGCCTCGAAGAGCACGGCGGCATGGATGTCGACCATGTCGGCGCTGGCGTGCGAGAAGATGTCGATGATGGGGTTGAACCCGCCCTCGTAGAGCCACTGGATGAGCCCCCACTTGGCGCACTGCGGCGCGGTGTACTTCTCGGCGAGCTTGGCGGACCCGGTCCCGACGGAGATGACGAGGTAGTTCCGGTACTCGGTCGGCTTCCCGGGGTTGAAGTCCGGGTTCCGGCGGAGCACCTCCTTGGTGAGCATGGACATGGTGATCATCGTGGGGTTGTTGGCCGCCACGCCGCCGTCGACGAGGTGGTACTCCCGCGGCGGCCGCCCGTCCCCGGGGCCGGGCTCCGTCGTGAAGTAGTGCGCGGGGAAGTAGGTGGGCGCCGCCGACGTGCTGATGCAGATGTCGGAGAGGTGCGCGTTCTTGAGGGCGTCGCTCTTGGCCTCGTACGTGGAGAAGATGATCGGCTGCAGGTACTTGACGTCGAACGCCGGCACCACGATGTTGGTGACCGTGTCCGCGATCCGCACGTCATGCGTGAGGCTCTTGATCTTGTCGTGCAGGAACACGCCGTCGTACTTGGGACCCCTCATCGTGCCGATCAGGTTGGCCACCGGCGTCAGCCACCCCACCCAGCATTAGCAGGAGCAGGGAGCATCATCAGCTATAATCAACGTCGGAAGATGGTTGGACGATATAACGGCGGTGAGGTTAGTACGTACTTTCTCTGTGGGAAGATCTTGGGGCCGTTCTCGAGGTAGAAGGTGGTGAGGTCCTTGGCGGCGAACAGAGGCCGCCGGTTCTCGTCCGGCGCCGCCAGCATCGATGTCAGCAGCGCGCCGGTGCTCGTCCCGGCGATCACGTCGAAGTAGTCGGCGATGCGTGCGTCCGGCCCGTCCAGCTCCTGAGCTCAAATTAACCACGTACAAAGAGTGGGTCATTAACGAAGTTCCTGGCTTTGTGTTTGTGCTATTAATCCGTTCCCTGATGTGATGCTCATAGATAATATACCTGGAGCTTGGCCTCGAGGCAGGTGATGATAGTGGCAGGGATGAGCCCACGGATGCCGCCGCCGTCGATGCTCAGCACCGTGATGAGCCTCCCCTGCGACGGCGGTGGCTGCGGCACCGTCATGCCGGCGGCGGCGTCCGTGCCTTTGCTGGCCATGGTGAATCGGGGTATATTAGCGACCCCTTAGCTAGCTTGAGTGGACTGAACTGCTAGCAGCACCGAAGATCAAGGAGAGATCGGTTTCACAGATGTGCTAGCTCCTCGGATCTTGTGCTCCCGATCTGAAGCTAGCTATAGGCTACGGCGAGCTGGACTCTTCATATATAGACCATAAGGCCAGTCTCAGCGAGAGTTTTACGAGAGTTTTATTTGTATTTAATAGCCTATCACATATGTATTTTTGATGACATCATGTTTTAGTGAAGAAAAAGTTCTTTATATATGGACCATGAGGGAGCCGTGTCAGACGAAATTAGCTGGCTGGCATGAGGCACGCGAATCTCAGATTCTCTCTCGATCGCTTTCATTCGTCAACAGATTAGGTGCTACATGTTCCGTGCCTTGGACTTTGGCAAGTTGGCATTGGCCATCGTCCCGGACTAGTAGGTTTTATAAATTCGGATTAATTAAAATAGAAAACACGACATATGAGTGTGCTTCTTTTCTATATGTGGAGAATGGTCAACGTGATCGTCCTTTACATTCGAGAAAAAAAAATAATGTGAGTTACTTCACGTTCGTGAATTTTAAGATGATTTTATATAACCAACTAGTACAATGAAAAGAAGATCTCACAAGAGAAATTTATAGTTGTTTTCTATAGCCAAACAATAACAAAATTACTTTTTGTGAAGAACAACAAAAAATCAGCCACCTAAAATATATGAGAAGTGGCAATGAATAGGTCCTTTGCCTGCGTGTTTCGTGAGAATCCAGCGCTCAGCGGGCCAAACTAGTGTTAGATGGCCTATACAATTACATATGTGGTAGAGGAGAGGTACAGGAGAAGATGAGCAAAGCACAAGACTTAAAATCTAGTTGCAATTGTCTTCTTCTCTCCTGCCGGGACTGAGGAAAAATGTTACAACTACAGATATGTACGATTAAGGTCTTACGAGGACCCTTGTACATAACACCGACTCTGTCGGTGCGAAAAGTTACCAACAAATAAATATTTATCGTTTTGCCGTACGTTATGATCGGATGTGTCATAGCATTCAATGACATAGGGTTTATACTGGTTTAGGCAACGTGCCTTACGTACAGTTTGAGTCGGTCGGTGACTTTATTCCTGAGCCCAGGTGCTTCAAGTTTGCTGTGGGGTTACAAACGAGTGAGGATAAGATGGGGGTGTTAGAGGTCTGGTCAGACTCTGGACTGAAGAGTCAAGAGTGACGGGAGCTCCTACGTGCGTTAAGTATTGGAACGTATGCTCTGTGTAGCTTTAGAGTTCTAGAGCCATTGAGCTGTTCGAGTGCTCAGAATGGAGTTGTTCGAGTGCTCAGAATGTCTAAAGCTAGCAGAGTGAGAGTCGGAATGATCCATTCTTTTTTTGAAAGAGAGCGCATCCCCTTTTATAAATGAAAGGGACGGCCTTACAAGTTCAAGGGACATATAGAGAGAGAGAGAGAGAGTGCCCCTGTCTTGGTGCCCACGCCGTCGGTTACAAGACAGTTTGTCGGCGCCCACAATACTGTTGACGCCCAGATGCATGTGGTATGCTCCGTCGTGTTCTTCTGGTATGGCAAATGTCAACACCTACCATACTGTAGGACAAATGTTGACGCCTACAACACTGTTTGTGTTCTGACATGTCTGGAAGGCTGCAAAGTACCCTTCTGGCATTTCCTGACAGTACTGTCCTGCGGGTTTACAGGGTACAGTCCTTGGTATTGCGATTGACTTGAGCGCCTTACCTTATCTGCTCCGCCTGATTTCTTGGGTCCTCACCGAGCAGGCGTCTCCGGCCGGTCGTTCCTAGTTAGCTCCGACCACGCTGGTCGGAGAAGAGCCATAAGCAGAGGTTCGGTGTATCCCCGGTCGGAGAAGAGGGTCGGAGTCAGAAGCGAGTGTCATCCCCTCCTTAGCCAGGCCTTCCGGTCGGAGAAGCGGGTCGGAGTTGGAAGCGAGCGTTGTCCCCTCCTTGGCCAGGCCTTTCGGTCGGAGAAAGCGGGTTAGAGTCGGAAGCGAGCGTCATCCCCTCCTCGGTCAGGCCTTTTGGTCGAAGACTGGATCGCTCTTCTGGCTTGTCGTTAGGTATCTGGGCCGGCCCAGGAGTTGTGCGTCGTTTGTATTGTCATCCGCCGGGCCGAGCTTTTGATGGGAAGCGGGCCCATTAGGGACCCCAGGTTTTTGAACCTGACAAAAGCCCCCGAGCCCCCGGGCGATTTGGGTAGGATCGTTTGGGGGATTTTTCGTTTTGCCAGCGGGTGCGCGTGAGCGCACCCGGTGGGTGTAGCCCCCGAGCCCCCGGGCGATTCGGGTAGAATCGTATGGGGGATTTTTCGACTTGCCAGCGGGTGCGCGTGAGTGCACCCGGTGGGTGTAGCCCCCGAGCCTGTGTCTGACTGGTGAGTCGGTTGGAGGCTGAGTACCTTGGTACTCTTTCCTAGGGCCGCAGACTTCTGTGTTTCTGCCATTCAAGGTGTTTGCCCGTGTTTGTCCCGCTCGTGACCTACGTAGTCGATTGATTTCCCGAGTCGGCGTCGGGCGACCTGAGCCCCTAAACCCCGTTGGGCTTGGTAGGGTTTGTTCTAGTTCCGTGCGTTACCCCGTCCGCGGTTTCCACAACCGGAGGGGCTGAGCTAACGTCGCTTGCCTCGATGGCTCGAGTGACGCGCTCGGTGAGCTCACTAACGAGCGCGTTCGAGCAGAATCCGGGTCCGTCGTTCGTAACGATGTCGGCATCGCCCTCATGTGGCATTCCACTGCTCCTTAACTCGGCTCCTGGCAGATGTCCGGGTCATTCCAGAGACTGACTCAGGTGGACCACTGGCCTCCCCTCGATGGAGATTCTGTGGGCATGGCTTGAGGTTAGGATCGAACGAGAAGGTCGAGATGACCCTGTCTGCTTCTGAGCATACTAGGCGAGGGCCGCTGGGGCTCATCTGTGTTTTCTCCGCTGGCTCTATTTGACGCGAGGCGGCCTCGAGCCCTCCGTGGGCCGGCCTTCGAACCCCGGTCGGTCGTTGCTCATGTTAAATGAGGCAACTACCGCTTCATGACGCAACACGAAGCGTTGTGATTCATTAATTACATATGCGATGTTTTGGATGTATGGGATGAATGAATGATTGTATGAATGAATGTGTGTATGAGAATGGATGAATGAATGATCATGCATCAGAAAATAAAGAAAGATGGTTTGGTAAAGTTACCTTGATGACTCGAGTGACGGGTTTGAGGAGCTCTTATCGGATATGTCCGAATGGGATCCGTGTCCATCATTCATGACGGAGTAGGCGTAGCCCGCATGGGGCATTCCACTGCCCCTTACCTATCTCTTAGCAGTCGCCTAAGTCGTCCGATCGACTCAGGTAGCCCGTTGGTCTCTCCTCGACGGAGATCCTATCGGTGGACCCTTCCAAAACCCTACCTAGGAAGGCAGAGGGTCGTTTGCATGCGGTTGCACCTCATTTCTGGTGCCTGGGTTGCGGTAGTAGTGGGCCATGCCTAGGCCATGTCCCGTTTTACCAGGCGTCGTTTCGTCGGGCAGGGTGCGTCCCATCAGTCAGGACGCGTCCCACCGCATGCCTATCCATATTAAAATAGGGGAAGGGAGAGGGTTTTTCACCCCCAATCATTCGTCTTTCTCCAACTGCTGGCTCTCCTCCTTAAATAGGGGAAGGGAGAGGGTTTTCATCCCATTTGTTTGCCTTTCTCCATCTGCTGCCTCTCCTCCTTCCTTCTCACCAAGTGCGTTCGTGTGCTGCGACGGTTCCTAGGAGAGAGAGGGTAAAGCGAGGGAGAGGAGAACTCATAGATCCATTTGTGAATCCAGAGCGCGATGTTGAACTAGAGGACATCCATCGTAGATGAGGCGGTGCTGGCCGCCTTCGCCGAGAAGGGACTGCTTCCACCGAAGGAGTGGCGCACTAGAGGGCTCCTGCACCAGGGGAAAGCTGTTCCGTGACCTTAG